AGCGTTATTCTCCTCATTTAAAAATCTGCAAACAGGTTTCTTAACTTCTTTACAAAGTTTCTTGTACAGACCTAGTGTGCATACATAGTTAAAAATAAATATTTTTCTTTTTTAGTGAAGAAAATGACCAAAAAATGGCTACTTAACTCTAAAGGAAAAACCAACAGATTATATTTCATTGACCAGTTGATAAATAAATATTACAACTCCACTGACATGACAGAAGTCTTGGATTACATCAGCTGAAGAAGCCCCACCATTTGTTACAACAGCTGTCAGGGAACAAGTCTTGGAAATTTTAAAGGAGTGAGAAAATACCAATTTGAAAAAATATATTGGCAAATTTTTATTACTCACGATTGCCAGCAGAAACCCAAATGTTTGGGGGGTTTTCTCAATTCTCTGACCTGAAAAATCCAAATTTTAAAAAGAAACTTACTGAAAATAATTGAAGTATGCTCAAGAAATGGGTAAGAGTGGGGGGTAGACATGAAAGGAAAAGCTTCAGCTTTCTCACTGCAGGCCAGGATTTCCCCAGGAGCTTTCCTGGTGCTGGCAAACTATTCCCAAGTGCTTTTGGCACTCAGGATTTGGCACCCTTGAAACTCTGGGGCCATGTAAGAAGATGAAAACCAATTTCTCCAGCGGTGTCACACCCACTCTGTCCAGCCCTGGACATAGCTGCTCTTCTGGACACCCAAAGCATCATTCCCATGGCAGATTCCTTACTGAAATTTTTACACTTTACTTACTGAATTCAGTACAGCAGCATTCAGCAGGCAATTCCTGCATCTCTGTGCCAACACACTTTTGGAATAGAAAGTCCTGCATGCTGCTGAAAAACCCTAAAATAAATTATAGTTCTGCCAGGGAAACACATCTAGACAAAATATTGCACCTTGGCTACCTCCTCACAGATGTCTTTAAAACTATCCTTGGGAGTATTGGTTTTTTCCCTCCCCCATAAATTGTATTTCCCATTGGTTCCAGTATAATGGGCCATAGATCTCCCAGAGAGCACCAGAGCTCCTGTTTGCTGGCCTCCACCCTCTCAGACAATTCAAAGGCCCCAGCAGAAGAGATGAGCTGCTCCCCTGCCACAGAGAATTATTAGTCCCTCCTAATCCTCCTATGGAAAAGCTTTCCCAGTAATTCACTGGCCAAGGAAAACAACCTGGTCCCAAGGGAAATGGGACCAGGTCCCTCACAAACCACCCCAAAATATCCTGGCCCCCCTGGCCTCGCTCACAGCCTCTGGTTCCAGGGGATAAATGCTGGAGCATCAGGAAAAAACCTGTCAAAATAGAGGTTGACAGTCTGAGCAATGTGGACACCTTTGATCCTTCCAAGTGTGTTCTTCAAGGAGACCTCATCTTCAGCCTGAACTGGAAATAAAACATTCAAAAAGCAAAATTCTTTGTGGTACCCAGATGTCACTTAGCCTGTTCTGCTTTGACAAAATCTAAATACTCCATTTCTTGCTTTGACTCTATATCCCATTGTCTACTCTTAAATAGCTGCAAGACAAAACAACTTAATTTCTTTCTGACTCTGGTAGGGTCGTGTCATTCTGATAAAGCCAAAATACTTCATCTTCTGCAGGGCACTCACACTCTAGAAAGCTTCTGACAAAACACTGCCTTCCACTGCACAGGAATCTCAACATTTTTGGCCAGCTGTGATAATCACAAACAAGCCAGGACCTGACGTGTAACATCCTTAATAGAGGGGGATCTCTCTTGTTAAATGCATTGCTAAATTGAGTTTGCTGAGCAGTACATCCCACTGACAGCCTCCACACGTGCCAGCACAGCTTTCCAGGACTCTGCTGCAGATCTGGGTTACCTTTGGCCAGCAACACAGGTTTGCAAAATCACAGAGAAGTTTCAGCTGGAAGGGACCCTGGAGATCGTCTTTGCTAACCTTGTGTTGAAAGCAGGGCCTTAGATGAGGTTATCCACGGCCCTGGCAAACCAAGGTCTTGAATATCTACAGCCAGGAAGATTCCACTGCTTCTCCAGGCAGTTTATCCCAGTGTCCAAGTGTCCCAAAGTCAAGAAACTGCTTCTAAAATTCAGATAAAAATACCCTGAATCAACTGTTACCTCTTCCCCTTGTTCTCTCAGCACTGTGTCCATCTTCTCTCTCCTCCAGGAGCCTTATAAAGCTGGTTAACAGGGAAATCTGATAAAAGGGGATAAAAAAGAAGACTTGCTCCACAGAATCTGTTGCATTTAGCTGCTTGTAAACATTCAGGACTCGTGGCAACAAAATCTCAGAGGTACAGACATTGTCAGAGGTGCAGGAGTGACAGTCCTGCCAAGAACAAAGTGTTGGAGGTACCTCATGCTTCATCCCAACAAACTTATTACATTTACTGTGGAAAAATCAATCCATTTTTTCTAATTATTAGATCAAATTATACAACTACAGAACTTCCTGATTACAGAATGGACAGATGACCTTTCAAAAACAGGTGTTGGTTGATTTTTTTCCCCTTTCTGTGGCTGGGATATTTTCCTTATGAATAGCAATTATTTCCTTTTTTTCCTCTCAAGTACATTTGGCCACTTAAAAAAATGTAAATAAAACTAAAACATATTAAAGTTCCAAGGACTTGTCTTCTGACAATTCTTTGCTTTTCCTAAACAGACACACACTGAAAATTTCCTGGACTGCAGAAAAATCTCTAAAACTCATCACTATTAACCTTCTCTTGGTTTAATTTATCACTTTGGGGTCACTGAACCTTTCACTAAAATGATGCTCTCTAAACCTCAGGGCTCTGTGGTGCTTTTTTCTCAAGGGCTACACATGAAAATTGCTACATTGTGCACACAGCTTTGCTCATCTTGCTTCCAGAAACAAAAAGGTCCAGAAAACAAAAATTTGTCTTCAGACAAATCTGAAATTCATAACACAGCTCAACTCTTACTTTTGTAAAGGCAAAACAAACCAGATATTGGATGGCATAACATCAACAGAAAAAAGAACAAGCTATATTCATATCTGATGTACACAGCCTGTGCTACTGGGTATATCATTACAAAAAATTGCAGTCTTGTCTGATATATATCACCCCTGCTACTTGCTAAATTACAGTAAAAAAAGTGGAAACCCTCCAAAACAGACAATATGAACTTGTTTATGGATTTGAGCTGTAACAAACCTCATTTTGACATCATTTTCCCATATATTACAGGGCTGATTCAAGTCAGTACCTAAAGGAGGGACAAGAAACAAGGAAGTGCTGAAGGGAACTGATCCCACACAGAACACACCCCTCATTATTATCCACATCAATATAAATCCACTCCTGACAAAATGCACTCTCCATTTCTGCTCCTATTAATGGCAACTTTATTTTCAGACAAGACAGCAATCCCAAGTCCTCAACCCTTCTACTCATGAACAATCCAAAGGTAGAATTTCCCCTTTGAATTAATTTCAGGTCCAGATTTTCTCTTCTGCTGCCTACTTTCCTCTTGCAGCTCCACACACAGAGGATATTCTGCTTCTCCCCTCCAAAAATGAGGGTTCTGTGCCCTGCTCTAGAGCCAGGGTTTTCACAGAAGGAAATCAGCAGGCAGTGGAGAAGAAAATCTTCAGACAGCAAAAAAGAATAAAAACTTAACCCAGTGATTACAGTAGAAAATTAGGAAAATGGCATAACAGACTTCAAGATAACATTTGTGGAACTGTGGAATACCTCCAAGGTGCAAACCTAACTGTCTGAGAGCTAAAAAATGAACATAGCAAAACCAAATCACCTGTTTGGAACAAAATCAGGGCAACAAATTTACATAAATTAACAGCACCTTTCCACCCCATTTCCTCACTCAGCTCCTTTTAGAGCAGTCTGTTCTGCTGTGGTTATAGACCAACTCATGTCTTTCCTTACTTCAAGAACCTTCTTTAAAATGTTATTTTCTTTTTTTTTTTTTTTCTTTTTTTTTTTTTTGGAGTGGAACAACTCTGTTTTTTGTACCTTATAAGAAAAAAGAGTTTCTTGTTAAAGGATTTGGTTTTGATAAGAACAAATTGGGGCAACAAATTTACATAAATTAACAACAGCACCTTTCCACTGCATTTCTGCATGTTTTCACCCTGTCATTTTAAAAAGGTATCAAAGTAGTGGAGATGCACTTAAATCCATTTCAAAACAAGCAGAGCAATGCAGGATCTTCTGAGAGCCTTTAAAAAAATCTTCAAACCAGACATGTGTCATTACAAACATTGTGGTTTCTGTCACAGTAGCCACCGTTGCTGCTAACAGTAATAGAGGTTGTGGGGAAAGGGAATTTTGGTTTCCAGTGAAGTCAGTGGGAATTTTCCAATCAGATAATTCTTAATTGAAAACCACCAGCTTTTAACGAGAACTTTTTTAGAAAGTTTCTTAGTTTCAGTCAGAGCAGAAAGGAACCAAAGAACAGTTTGGTGTCTGGAGCACTTCCAGAGCACGTGGTGATGATCACATCCAACATCCCTCTCCAGGCTAACCTGCAGCAACGTGACCATAAAGTTCCTATTTCTGCCTCTAGCACAGGCAAATCAACACAAATAAATTTTTGGGGTGTCTTCCTTCTGTTTTCAAGTTTAAAAAAAGGAAAAAAATACAACAGAAAACTTTGAAACTCTTGCCATGTTGCCTCTTTCCATCTGTTATGATTTTTTTTTTAAAATCTCCTTCAGCCTCTCCAGAAAGAATCAGAAACCTCACTAATTAAAGGATACAGCCTAAATAAAAAGAGAACTTACTTTGGGTCTACATTATGAACACTTCAAGCCATTTCCCACCAAAGACTGTACAAATGTTTACTCAAATAACCCATGCTCTTCATGAGTAGACATTTTATGAGATAGAGGTGAAGGCATTATTCCTGAAAGGATTGCTTTGTAATATAGGATCTATGATAAGATCTAAAGGAAGCTTTTCTGGACGTGTTCCATCACTTGATGTTCAGGAAACCATTTTATATGACACAAAGGATTAGGAAAAATAAGCTGCATGACATTTATTTTGTAATTTTAACATTAATATCTGTAGAAACATTTTATTGTCAGTACAAAAGTTAACAGATTTTAATACTTATTTTACCCAATTTTAAAAAAAATTATCAAAAAGAAAAAAAAAAAAAAAAAGGAAAACAAAACAAAAACAAAACAACCACACCACCACATAAAACAGTGAAATTTGCATTCATAATCCATGGCCATATCAACGTGAATGCTCTGAAAATACAAGACTCTGTTAAAAAAAAAAAAAAAAAAAAAGATACAAACAACAGTGATATTCTAGCAGAGGCCAGTGCTACACCTACTGTTATGGAATGGTTCAGAAGGAAATACTGGAGTCAGCATGAATTAATCCCCTAAAAAGACGCTGATATTCCTGTGGCAAGTTCTCATTATAAACAACTTCTCTCTTTTTAACTTAAGTTACAATAGAGGGATAAAGGCAAAAGATCCAGGCCAAAAGGTCTGGAACCTATTATCCAACTGAGGCAAGAGAATTGTAGATAATTTGATGCATGTGCAACTCAGGGTAGAAGCTCAGCTCCTTTTAGAGCAGTCTGTTCTGCTGTGGTTATAGACCAACTCATGTCTTTCCTTACTTCAAGAACCTTCTTCAAAATGCTATTTTATTTTTTTTTTTTTTTTTGGAGTGGAACAACTCTGCTTTTTGGACCTTATAAGAAAAAGAGTTTCTTGTTAAAGGATTTGGTTTGGATAAGAACAATCATCTGACGCTGCAGTTTTTAAACACAAATAAATCGAAAGTTTAATTCCCCCAAATTAGTTATATACTGTAAATATTTATTTTCTTAAAGATCTGAAAACTAGTAAAGTCTGAGCAATATACCTACTAGTCCTCTGTGCTGCCTGCATAGAAATGCCATTTAAATTACAAAAACACAACAACCCTATAAACGATTAACTGGTTTGTACATTACCAATTAGTTAATAAATTAATGATATACCATTTTCCCTGAAAGCAAAGTATTTTCCACCTTTGGATGGTGAAAATTAAGATATTCTGTGTAAGAACAGCATTTAGCAAATAGCTGTTAAAAAAGAGACTAATTTGCTAGGTGGATTGGGACATCCATTTTTTAAATCAATACAAAAAATAATTCATTGTAAATATATATAATATATATTTATACATATTTTTGAATATATTTACATACATCCAGCACCTATATACTGCATTTGTGCTCTGTAAGTGTGTGCCAACATATATTTTCTCCAAATATTACAAAATAAACAAGAAAGGCAGACCCAGAGTTTGCCTCAAGTCCAACTGGTCCATTGTACAAACAAAGTCTGTTGCAGCTCGCAGGAAGCCAGAAAATTGATAGCAATGGGTATTTAGAAACAGCTGATAAACATTCTTCTTTCTTGGGAACATCTGAAAGCTGCAAGTGATGAGAATCTTTATGTAGGTTCTGACCGCTTTCCTCCAAATTTATTTTTTTTTTCCTTTTCCTTCTTTTTAGTTTTGTTTTTTTTTCCCATATCTCCTATGTACAAGCAGAAACATGAAGGTCCTGGAGAAAAGCTTTTGCTTTGCATACTGTAGGTAGCTCGATGTTCTTGCCTCTTTGCTGCTCTTTTCATGTTTTCACGCTCCCGTTCATGTGCTGGTACTTGGGGAGACAAGGTTCGTAAGGCATCGGGTCGGGAGAGAACACGGAGTCGTCCCCCGAGGAACACGAGCTCCTGGTGTCGGGGTAGCTGGGTGAATACTGCTCCAGAGGCCCACTCAGGTCCAGATACTCCTGTGGCAAGAGGAATAAAAGCTGGTTTTAGTCAGTGAAGAGGACTGACAAGAGCACGTCACCGCCGCTCGGGTTTTGGGACGGAGCGGTTTGAAAAACGACACTCGGTTCCGTGAACCAACTGCATCTGAAACTGCCTCGTTGCTTAAATACCTCATAAAACAAGGAGCTCGACTAGGGAAAGAAAAACCAAGCCAATAACACGGTATTTTCTGAAGTCCAACATCACCAGCATTAGCTGTGTCAGTGGGAATAAACATGGCAACCACATCAAAAGAGGGCTTTTCACTCGCAATGATAAAAATGAAATTTCATCCTAAATAGAACCATTTTTCTCTAGCACATGGTAGTGATTTGGAGAGGGAAAGACGCTTCCAACTTTGTATTCCTTTGGTCACTTTGAATCTCTGCTTTATATTCTGTGATATTAAATTTGTGTTTCAACATGCAGTGGCATACGTGCAAAAAAGATCTGAAAGAAAAACAAAATCAAATTCACACGATTTGGGTTTTTTACACTACATATTTGTGTGTTGTGCGTCCCGGAGTAGCCATGACCAAAGCAGTCATTAAAAAAGGAAATATCATCTGCTGAATCCAAGTTTTGGGTTAAGGCTCTTTTGCTAGAAACAACAGTTTTGGCAAGAGAATAAAGTTATTTTTCCCCTTGAAATGTTCCTTCTCTTTCAACTTCTAAAGGCAGCTGCATTCATTTAAATGCAATCTCTTCATTTGCTAAACCACAAGTTATGATCGTACTGACGAGACGAGTCTTCCACCTCAGTCAGTATTTTATGCTGCTGTGCTTAGGTTTGGGGTAATTTACTCCTTTGGCTAACATTCCTTTTTAAGTCAGAGATTCATCATTACCATCTTACAGTTAACAAATGGTCACCATTTTAAAAGAAGGGTGTGGTATGCAAGTTTTAAAATGCTGGAAAATTCAATAGGGAGCAAAAGGAGGGAGTTTGGATTTATTGATTATTGACTATGTGGCTGCCCATGCTCTTGAAAAACCCACCAGGGCAATCCTGACCCATATTTATGGATTAGCAAATCAGCCCTACATGAGTAGAATTATATTTTCTAAATAGACAGAAGAATAAAACATCCCAGTCTTTGAAGATACAGGGCTTTCCCAGGGTCCATCAGACATAGCTCATCATATCAGAAGATGTGGTGTGACCCAGGTATGAATTGAGTATTGAAGACAGGATCCTTATCCAGTGTCCACAGCCAGGGACACACCAAGGGGCAAAAGAACCAGCACCAGGCTGGTTTCTGGTGTTAACAGAGCAATGCAGCCACAAGGCTGACTCCTGGTGACTTCTGCTCAAGTGGGTCACAGAAACATGAGAGACTTTAGGGGGAAAAAAACCCAGCAAGGAAACACATAAAAACCCCAGCAAGCGATGATTCAATGTGGAAAAGAGCGAGACATTACTATTTAAGCAGAAATCATTACTTGCACAAAAGCAGAAGAAATTATTGGCTGCCCCAGCAAACTGAGTTGTTGGGTAAACCAGACTGAGCCTGGGCCAAAAATGTGATTCTGGGGGAAAGGGAGAGTGGGGAGAGGAGGAGCAGGAGAGCCTGGAGGACCTGCACTTGAGGAAAAGTGCACAGGTTACAGAATCAGCGATCTCCAAAGCTGTGGAGGAAAATGGGCCACGTTGGAGCTCTCAGGAGACACCCAGATGACAACAGGCGTGCGAAGACAAGAGGAATGATTTACTTTCTATGTCCAGGGTAAATAGGACAAAAGCAATATCTGATGTTGAAAGATTAGAGATTAGGAAAACAAAGCAACGGGCTGTCAAGAGGCGATGCCGAAATACAGCAGTGGAGATCTGTGAGGACAAGTTACATAAACATCTGTCAGCAATGACAAACGTATAGTGGGCCCTGCCATAGGCCCATCAGATGGACTGGATGTGTTCCTAAGCTTCTTCCAGACGTTTTTCCTATGATTCTAGTCTAAAGTAATTTACATAACCCTAAAGGCCTTTTCAGGTTAACTTTGAGATCATTCCAGGTCTATGAGCAGTGCGGAGTTGGGAAGGCTCGACGGTTAAACACATGCGAAAAAGAAAGCAATATCCTTTCCCAGGCTTGGAATTGCAGCCCAGAACCTCCCTCCTGAATTTGCAAACACAAATCCAGTCCAAGCCACCCAGCACTCTGCAGTGGCAGCCAGCCCACCTCCAACTAGCCTTGTGAAATCATATATGAACTAGGCAGGAAAAGATGCAGGCAGTACTGGATGAGGTGAAAATGGTAACAGGACACAGGGCTACATCCATCACTCCATAGGGAGAGCACAGTCCTGAAGGTGCCACTTTTTAGAGCAAGCTTTAAAAACTTTTTTATTTTTATTTAAAAATTTACAGCTGCTACTGAAGCCAAAGAATCTTTTTCAAGCAGATCTATTGGGGAAATGATGATCATAAAAAATGCCATCTCTTTACTCAGGTTCTCCTGTCATCTCCATTGCCAAAAGGCTTTCCCAAAGCTGCTCCATAATTTATTTATCTCTCTGACAATTCTAAAAAACTAGACCATAATGTTGAGGAGCCACCTAGAGTGATTCAAATCTCTCTTTTTTCTACAAAGAAGCAATAACAAGTACAAAAATCTTGTTTTGAAATGGTCAAATCAAGTTGTTGCAACTTTCCTGTGTAACTGCTTTGTTCTTTTTTTTGCTCCCATTAAACATTTCATTTCTCAGAAGTAACAGCAGTCTGTAGAATATTTCTGGGACACCAAGTATTTTCTCTCAAAAGAAATTTCCACCAGAAGGATCAACATTTCCATCACTTGTGATTTTCCTCAAAGGTGCACGTGGTTCAGAGGACTGATTCCTGTGTGAATACCCTAATCAGTGTGTTCCTTGCTAAAACTAATAATATCTCAGACCTCTGAAAGAACGCTCTTCAAATAAAACCTTTCTGCATTCACATACACCAACCTGAAGCAGTGCTAGGCAGGACCTTTGGATAATTGGATGGCTGTTTGCACATCCCCCCTGGGTCCTCATTCCCTCCACAGAGAGCTATTTCAGTGAACCTAATTCACTCTCAGACACATCATCTGAAATCTGCCATTGACGATTTCTCCTCTTCTGACCTACATAGCATGGCTGGGAATCAAACTGAGCCGGCAAATGAGAACCACCACGAGCTCCACGCACCTCCCTCACCTGCAGCTCCTGCTCAAACACAAACACTGCTCCTCAACCTGCCACATGCAGTCCCTCCACAAAACATCCCGAGATGCAGCGAGGAATAAATGAAAACTCCTCAAAGATGTGTTTCTTTTTAGTTACATAATTCCAGGCGTAATAGCAAGTGAGTGAGGATTTCATAGGATACATGGTTTAGCTGTGTGAAACCTCAGAGGACAATGACAAACAGAACAAGAAGTGAACTTGAGCAGCATTTCATAATTGAATAAATTCCATCTGTCCCCTGAACCATTTTTCCCGATCAGCAGCTTATGGGGGGAGACAATTTACCTACCTCATTAGTCGTGAGAGTGAGAATCCGATCCAAGTCCTCCACCAACTGTTTGAAAGTGGGTCTGTGAGAAGGCACAGCATGCCAGCAATCTCTCATCATCATATAGCTGTAAGAAACACACATTTGCTTGGCTTAATTAAAATCACACATCCTCCTCACAAACCTTTCCATGCACACTCAGTGCTGCCCTTCACAAGGAAAGCAGCGAGCACACACTGCTCTGCTCATGGACCACTGAACCCCCAAACCTCTACTCCTGTCTCTCCCTTGTTCAGTGTCTAAATTACCCTTTTGTGGGCCCAATCCTGTGGCCCAGGAACTTCAAAGGTATTAAATTACAATATTTTTTGCATGTCAGGGATTGCAGTCTTTGTGAAGAAATTGAAATGCAAAAAAATTTAAATGTATTTAAAGGTCTGTATTGAAATATCTGAAATCACACTCCCCACATCAACAGGAGATAATGCTGTGTTAAGTTCCCAGATGTATTTTGTTGTGTACAAAAGCAGCCTTGTGTACCTCACATTTGATTAGCAGTATGTGCAACATTTATGAATTTCCATGTTAGTAACATTAAAATCAAAAATTTGTGGGTGTAAAAACACTGACAGAGACTGGCTTGTAGATGATTTCTTCTCTCTGAAATAGGATCACAGCAGGGTGTGCAAAGAAGCATCCTCTGCCAAACATTTCCTGAAATCCTTCCCATATACCTTTTCCTTACACATCTATACCCTCCAAATACTCTAGAGCCAAGCACTTCTGAAAGTGTTTGATTCTTCTGGGGGCAGCATTAAACAGAATTCAGCACAGCTGTGTCCCTCAGCCCTGCTACAACAAACCAGGGTCCTTACAGCTCGTTGGTGCAGTTGGCAGGTTTATCCATCCGGTGCCCTTCTTTCAGCAGCTTAAAAAGTTCCTCCACTGGGATTCCTGGGTAGGGTGACCCTCCTAAGGTGAAGATCTCCCACATTAACACACCAAACGACCAACTGCAAACCAAAGAGAAAGCTGCATTACTAGGTCTGCCTGGCTGCTGGGAACAGAGAATCCCACCCCTCCCAGAGGTGTTTGAACCAGCCTCTGCCCAGGTCTGCCTGCCCAGAGCAGGACAGGGGGCTGGGAAGGGCATCAGAGGCATGGACAGCACTGGGGATGGGGACTGACCCCAGCATGTTCCCAAATACCCTTTTTTCCTCTGTCTGGTGTGCTCTGACCAGGGGCTACTGCCCAGCACTGCATCTTCACAGCTTAATGACTTACAGAGCGCTCACAGCTCAGCTGGGGTGCAATTATGTGGCAGGATATTTTGGAAAAAGCAGACTGTTCAAAACAAAAATATTTTGCATCACTCTGCTTTTTTTTTTCTTGTTTTTTTTTTTTTTTTTCTTTCTTTTCCCTTTTGTTGCTAACTTCTGCTAGGAAATGAAGTGGGATAATTTTTAAGCCAGTTTTCCTGCCTCATCCTGCCTGGCTGGCAAGCTGGGGCTCTCTGGCAGGCAGCTCAGCCAGGTGAGCACCAGCACAGAACCTGCTCTGGCTCCCCAGCAGCTCCCCCAGCTCTGCAGCATGGTATTTTAGTAAACTGTTTGCACAAACTTACAATAATATTATCTTTAGCCATCTTCAAAGCCACCATAGGGCCAAGAGTCTCCAAGTCCCAGCACTGAAATCCTCCTGCTGCCTGGCTGCTGAGGAGCTCAGGCTGCCTCTCAGTCCCAAGCCAGTGAAGTGGTTTACTTCACATTCACTTAAATATTTTGCCAAGATGTTATTTTAAAACACAAGTTTGGTCCACCCTTAACCTGTGTATATAGCTTCCTTTATAAATGATGTAGAGATTGCAGGAAATGCCTCAGTAAATGGTTTTCTTAAGAAGAGAACAGCTTGGAAACTGCACCCAGGTTAAAGAAAGAAGAGATACTTCCTTATTTTCTCCATCCTGCCCTTTTCCTTTTTAACCCTGCACTGACTTGCATAACCTTTTGCACCTCTGCTGGGAAGCATCCAGCCCTTTACAATTAACAGCTTTTTTTTTTGAAAAATAAAGAACAGGATCTTAACCTCTATTGCATAAAAAATACACATCTACTTCAAGCACAATGCACACAGAACTGTAATAAGAAGCAGAATAAACCCTGAGCAGTTGCATCAGCCAGTGGCTCTGTGCACACATTAAAAGATTTTTGAAGTGTCAGAGTCCAATGATTTCCTATTACATGTGAAGCACTGCTGGGAAGCAGCACCACTTCTGAAAAACAGAGAAAACTCTTCCAGCATACCCAGCCTATGTTTTATTACACCAAACCTTAGCACAGATTTTTATAAGAAGTTTTCAGGAACTTTCTCCTTTTTTTTTTTTTTTTTCATTCTTTTTTCTCTCTCTTGTTTTGTTTTGTTTTTTTTTTTTTTAAACTTGAAGGAAGTCCAGAGTATGTCAAAAGGCAAGCAAATTAGATAGACTCTTTGTAGCTGCACATCCGTAAATAAGTTCAAGGGGGGAAACTTCCGCAGTGACAGAAGGAGGTTAGCATTTTCCACCTTTCATGTGCTTTGAAGCTGGGCAGATTAGTAACAGAGCACTGGTTAGCAGTCTACCATAAAATCCTCACTTTCTAAGGGCAAGTCCTGTTCCATCCATTAATATGTGAAACAGAATGAAAACTCTTAAAGGTAAAGGACAACAGCAAAACACGTATGAAATACCCCAAACTTTAACAAACACAAAGCAAAACAAGCCCCTCCTTCCCACCCCCAAAACCCCATTGAAATCAGGCCACTTACACATCACTTTGATGTGTGTAAACTCTGTCAAACAGAGCTTCTGGAGCCATCCACTTTACTGGAAGCCGTCCCTGTGAGTTTGGAGGGGAAGAGAAATTTAAATGGCAGCAATTTATGGGATGATTTCTCTAAGAGACGTCTGCTAACGCAAACCAACAATAATTAACCTTTAACATTTTCAGTGAGAAAATTGTAAGATGGGCTAAAGTACAGAGACAGTTATAAAAATGGATATAAGCACTGAAGATAAAATTAAAGAGTTCCCAAAAATTTCCCAGACTGCTTGCTAGGAGAATGGTAGGATAAGCAGACCAAAATCAAAAGTATCATTCTGCTATAGTTCTTTAAAGACAAAAAACCCCACAATTAATAAACTTCTGAAAAACAGACCTGCCTGAAAAAATTAATTGATTACTAAAGCCAAGCACTTTGTTTTCCTGTCCCTTTTGCAGTGACCCAAAGAGTCAGAGCTGCCTGTTGCTTTGCACACACAGAGCTTGGGAATTGCACTGAGTCTGGAATGAAGAAGGTTCAGTCTCCTCCAACGCTGCTGCACATGGTGGCTCTGGCTTTTGGAATAGGCAGATGTTACCATTAAAATGCCATTAATCACTTAGTGATTTTCATAAATAAGCCACTTAGCATGACTGTTAATAAGTCATATTTATACAAATAAAATCTGTAGAACTCAATGAGTTCTGCAGAGTTCCCATCAAAACCCAAGTGCAGATCAGCAGGACTTTAAGAAATCTCCTAAGGAAGTGTAAGAAGTTCAAACCAGGTATCAATGCTACATCCCAAATGTTTTATCTTCTTGATTTGGTACAGGTTAAGCAGCAAAACAGTGACAGTGTGGGGAGTACAAAGAAGTTTTCTCTATCTCTAGCCCCACTTTGAGATCACCACCACAACCTGTCCCCAACAAGCTAAGCACAGGCAGAAGGCTGAATGTCACATCACCAGAAGAAAACAGAATTTTTATGGTGGTTGTTGCTGGCATTGTTTGTACAGCGCATTTCAAGATCCTGGGCTGGGTGCTAAACCAGCTGGATCAACAGGAATATTTCCACTTATTACAACTTATTTACACTTATTACAACTGACTAAAGTCAGAGACATAATAAAAATAAAATTCTTGTATTTTAGCATTTCTAACCTCCAATATTCAGCCTCTTTGCTTATCTTTTTAACCAACTATCACTGTAAGAGGAGACAGAAATGCTCATGTCCTTGATCCCTGCTTTTTTGTCTGGGATGAAAAGTGAGGCTGTTGTACAAGAAGCCCATTAAGTTTACAACCATAGTTGTGAAATGAATCACTGAAAGAAACCCTTGTTTCCAGAGATTAGAAAACCATCCACTTACATTAGTAGTCTTTTTGTAATAATCTATATTGTTGATGTCTCTGGCTAAACCGAAGTCTGCTATTTTCATGACATTGTTTTCGGTTACCAAAACATTTCTTGCGGCCAAGTCTCGATGGATGCACTGGAAACAAAAAAGAATTAAAAACAAAACAGCCTACTGAAATCAACTGCTACAAAAGTGGAAGTGCTTTAACACCACAACTAAATCTTCTTTATAGATTTTAATCTAAATGACCAGGTGGGAAAGCCACACATTCACTACAAGCCTGTGAAATATGATTTTCTTAATTATTGCAATCCATCCCCTCAGCTGGGGTTTCCAAGCTGAACAATGGCCCTAAGAGGTGTCTTAGAAAGTCCTGGTCTGCTTAAATCTTATATTTTTGCTAAGGCTGAAAGCTGAGTGGTGGCCCAAATTGTGCCAAGCACTTTGTGAACTATCTCTGTTATATGTGCCCAGGTACAGGTATTGCAGTTTCATCAGAAATACTGTTAATGAATATTTTTATTGTGTTGTTTCTCTTAAATTATAATGTCTCACCAGAGATAAAACCTGACAGCCAGTCTGAACCATTTTTAATATTAAAGATATTAAGGTAATTGTCAGCAGGATGTCTAAAGTGTGTATAATTTCTTCAACCACAAGACTATAAAAATGCAGTTATGCAAAGGAAAAGAAGAAAACAAAACAAAACAATCAGGGTTTGACTGTTTGTTTTTAAGACAGCTTTGATACTGAAACGAAACCTATCACCTCCTGAGAGATGTTTCCTTCATGTCAGCATTAGCCTGACACTGAGAGGACTCTGGAAATTATTCCTGTGTTCAAGTAGCTTTATTAGGGTTGATATAAGGTGGCAATGGGGGCATGGTAAGAAACATTGCATTTTGAATCCCAGCAGGATATTTTATTTATTTTCAACTAAAATATATTTTTTCTCCCTCTTTAATTTTGGATAACTCTTGATGTATGTTTTATTTCAGTATGTTCATAGACGGACTACAGAAAGCTATACAACAACCAGGTTTTTTCTTGCTCTGTAACTTGCTGAGATCTCTTATCCCACATGGGTAAAATGAAGTTTCTGCTCCTCACTGGCTTAGCCATGGGGAACTGCCAGGAAAAACCTGCTCCAGCAACACCTTCATGAGTACAGGACCAGGCAACAGTGCATGATTTCAGCATCCCATCAGTCCTCTAAGTCAGCATCAGCAATGCTGTGGTGCCAGAAACAACATGGGCCAAGCTTCCTACTTTTAAAAAGCATCCATGCAACTTTGGAAATATTTTTTCTAGTATTTGGGATATTGTTTTTAAATACAACTGCTTGTAAGGCAAAAACTTCTTGTGAGGCCAAGGGTGGGTGAACAAACATCACCTTTACCTTTTCCTTTATTGAAGTCTCAGTGAGCCCCTCACTGGACTGAAATAACAAGAGCACTGCCATTCTCACAGCTCATCCATGATGGGAATTCCACAAGAAGAGCAGCTCTCTTATTATTCCAGCTCAGTAAATGGGTCCCTGAGGGGAGAAGAAGGGGTGGAATACAAAGAGAAGCGGTGGGATGTCTGGAGCACAGGAATGCACAGCTCTGCTCTGTGCTGCCCCTGCTCTCCCTCTGCCTTGGGCAATGCCTCTCACTCTGTCCAGATCAGCACAGCACCCAGCAAGTGCTTTTCAAACAAAAAATGCTGCAGTGGCTCTTGGGAGTGTCCTACAGCAGCACTTCAGAGCTCCTCAGGAGGACACTTGTTCTCAAGATCCCGATGAAAAGATTTATGTTTTCCTTTCACATCAGCTCTGTTTTCTTGGGATGTGGCTCACTGCCAGGCAGGAGTTGCATTAATCTCAGAAAGAGATATCCTGAGGTGTGTCACCTAATCAATAGCCCTGCTTTACTCCATTAGAAGAGTTGTGCCTTGCTGTCACGCACATCACCCTGCAGACCCTGTTGTGCTAAGATTTACTGCTTCAAAACAAGAGAAGCAAAATTAAACCTGGATTCCATCTCTTCCCCAACCTCTGCAAGTGCAGAAGGAACAATACCAAAATCATGACTCCACACAACAGGAATGGAGAGCTACACTCAGCCCTGGTCTTTGGTTAAAAACAGCTCCATACTTGGGAGTGGACATGAGTGGAAATCGGTACAAATCCCACTAACAACCCCACACCCTGCCGGAAATATTTATCACTGGTATCATTGGTATCTGCTGCTCTGGGTTAGCCTTTGGGTTCAAACATCACCCAGGGTATCCAGGATTGCTTGTCCACTAAGCCACAGTATGTTTACAGAGTTAGTTACACAGGGGTATTTAAGTTTTTATAATTTAATCAAAATGCTGGTTAAAAAGAAATGTTTGAAGACAGGTTTTAGAAATAAGTATCTGGGGACATAACAGGATAAAGAAATACTTCCAAGAAGCTCACTCTCCTGAAAACACCGGTTTTAAGTAAAGTGCATAATTTAAGTGACTAATACACTCCACTTATTTTTGCCTCTTCTGCCCACTATTTTTGCCCTCGTGTCTTGGATCTTCTCAACCCTGCCTGCTGTTATTCTGCAAGTCCTTTCAGCCACTAGATTAATTTGTTTTACCTCACAATATGAAAGGATTTGGCTGGTTTGACTGGAAACAGAAGGCCAACAGAGGCTGCTGCCTCATGGGTGGAGATGTGGGGCTTGTGCAATCAAATCCTGTGTTTATGGATTCAAACTGCAGATACCTGCAAGATATTTACCTTAAACCATTCACTCCAGGCCTCACTTCAGCAATATAGCTAAACAAAGATGAAAAACCTTTAAGTGCATGGATTTTCCCACTGATCTGGAGGGGCATGGATTACATAACCTCCTGTTAGAGGCAGCTCCTTCTCCCACCAAATTCCTGAACGCAAACGAGACGAGGACAAAAAATCAATCTGAAAAAAAAATTCGCTGTACTTGCTGAGCTCCACCTACTTTTTGGGAAGCCAGGTACTCCATGCCTCGTGCCAGCTGGTAGGTGCAGGACACCAGGTCCTTGAATGTCATCTGCTCCTCGGGCACCCTGTTGATGTCGAAGGAGTACTCCATGCCGGGCGGGCGGCGCGCTCGCAGGTATTCCCGCAGGTTCCCCTTGGAAGCATATTCCACTATCACATACAAAGGACCTTGGGGTGAAAAGAGCCATGGGAAAAGCAGGGTCAGGTACCAGGGGAAAATGATTTGGGTTTTGTTTTTTTTTTTTTTTAATGTAAAAAAGCTTTTAGCGCGCTGTGATAAATAACTGAATCAATAAAGTGGGAAAGCGGTAAGCACCACTATAAAAAAAATAAAAAATAAGAGGTTTGGATATAAACAACTCTAATTTGTATAAATTTATACAAATTTATACCAATTTAGAAGTGACTGCCCAAAGCTCCACAGCAGGAGTGGCAGAGCCACAGTTAGTGCCTTAAAGTACCTAAACGTTGCCCCAGTGCCTGTTCCTTTCAGACCATGTCACGAACTGAAAAACAAATATTTTTAAGCAAAAAATACCCTGAGATCTTCAACAAAAAGGAAAGTGCTTCTTAAATTTTGGTTTTTTAATTTCCAGAGTGTCATGCCATTCTGCATCGCTTTATGTGGCATAATTATCTTTTCCAGGACTCATTTCAAATTTGTGGGGTGCAAGCTCTCCTGAAGCAGGGCTGACAATTCAGAACAGCAGACATGGGTAAAAAGGCCCTGCAAAAGAGCATTTGTTCCTTACAGCAAGGAATTAGAGCGTTTTCACATAATATAGGACCCTTTCTCATATTAAGGCTGCAACTATAATGAGAAACAGAAGTTCAAATATTGCTGTTAAGCTAAAGAAATACCTAAAAATCCTATCACGGCATGACTGCTTCCTTAAAACCTCTTGAAAAATTATGATTAATGAGACCTTCACAGACCTGTTGGAAAGTCCTGGTTTACTTTCTTTTCTCTACTCACCATCCTGGGTACAGGCTCCGAGAAGATTGATGATATTTTTATGCTTCCCAATCATCTTCATCATCTCCATCTCTGACACCAGGTCAGAGAGGTCTTTTTCTGTGGCATCATCTGTAGAAGACACAGGTTCAGTTCATATATTTTAGTGTGCCAAGCTGAGCTTCAGTAAGGCTCTCCAGTTGGTGTAAAACATGTGTGGCTCAAAATGCAGAATATGGAATTTGTTTTCCAGCTTACACTGCATATCATGTATCACATCCTACCAAAAAATAGCCTCTTTGGTGGACTGACCAACTCTTCAGTGCTATTATGTAAAGAGGCAGCAAAGCAAGATCAAACATAAAAAAGCTGTCCTTAGCTGTCAAACCTCTGGTAACACCGCCCTTCCTGCAAACTAACCTTACAATTAAATTCAAAATAAATAGGAACCAACCACCTGGACTGACTGGGCTCGGATCTACACATGGATAGCCTCTGACATGAAATAAACTGAAAGCAGAGAGACCCACACGATGCTAATACATCTCCTGGCTCCCAAATACTCAAGATAAACAGGCTGTCAAGGCTGCAGATTTACACCCCAAACCGCTGAAGGCTCAGGTCAGCTATGCGCTCTTTGACCCACGCCACAACGATGACAGAGTTCAGATGCCACAAAAGCAAATTCTGTGGCTGAGAGCTGCCATACTGCCCGTTCTGATCCCTAATCACCCAATTTTCTTACCTTTCAACATCTTCACTGCCACGGTCACTGCTTCTTTCGGCCTGTCTTTGTCAATGCCCACCGCTTCGGCCATCACCACTTGCCCAAAGCAACCTTCTCCCAGGGGTTTGCCCAGCGTCAGCCTGGAGGTGCAAACAGCAGATTAAGACACAGCATCTGGTGGAGGGGGTGCAGCCAGTGAAATTCCAGGGCTAAATATAAAAACCTTTCAACAACTCGAAAGCCACGCTGCAGCGTGAGGCGTTTATCATATGGAACCAATAAGGGCCTGGGTGCGTTTTCTTAGGGATGGTGGAGCAAGCATCTCAGGCACATCAGACACTAAACCCAGCTTTAAACTCTCCTCAAGGCTGCACTTGATGGCTTGTGGGGAGACAGTTTGGAGGGGCAGAGCTTTCAAGGGGCATCAGAGCGTGGCTGGAAGCGGGGAGCAGCCGGCAACAGGCCAGCTTCTCCTGGCACGGTAACACCGCTGGTCATCTTTGTCTCCACACTGACCACAAGGACATGAGAGCCAAGTTTCAGCCACAGAAGGTCCAGCACAGTGGCTGTTCCTCTCTGCAGCCACAAGAGTCTTGGCTGAGGGGACCAGAAGGTGCCTCCTGCCCGCAGAGCCCAGGCTCTGCTCAGCAAGGGGAAGCAGAAACTGGGAAAAACAAACTCAGCTGCAATCACAGCACCAAGATCAAACCCTCCTAAAAGGAGCAGTCACTAAGTGGGCTCTGCAGAATGTGTTTTGTGTTTTGTGGAGCATATTCCTGGTTGCAAAACCTGCTCAGATCTAACACACAGAAACAGAGATGTCGATCTCAGCTTCATGAGGAGAAAGAGATGAAATAAAAAAGAAACTTGAAGCCTCTGGGCAAAATCTTTTTGATTCCAGCCTAAGTGCTCAATGGGCAGACCCTTTACTTGCAGAGAATGCTGTGTGACATCCAGCAGCAGTGCTGTGGCAGGAGCCAGGGAGGATGCTCAGTGAGTGTGATGCTGGTAACATTATCCAACGTAGGGGCCAGATTCAGACAAGCATAATCATAAACAAATTCTTAAGGACCTGACATTCCACGGTCAACAGGAGGATTTCACAGATGGAGAGACTCATTTTTAAAAGCATGGACACCTGTCTTCCACCATGAAGTACAGGGAGAGGCTGTCATATCATCAGCAGAGATATTAGGTGAGGGGTAAGTGGTTTGAAACCCTGCTTATCTCCTGAGGGCAGCCAGCTCACACTGTCACATGTGGGCTCCTGCTTGGTGAGAATCCCTTGAGCTGTTCTGGATTGGTTTCTAAAGCAAATGCAAGTTTTAAAAAGGTGAGAAGACTGAAGGGCAGCATATGCTATGCTGAGATCACCCTGCGTTTTCTCCAGAACTAAGACTGAATTTAGGGTCTTGGCAGAGAACAAACATTTGCATTGGAAACTGGTTAATTTATGTGCTATCGCCCTGCTAGGACCAAAGTAACAAACCCCTCATTGTGTGCCTGCTGCCCCCCAGCCTAATAAACTGCCTCTAAATAGCCTCCTTTCATTGCAAATCTGCTCCACCTACATTTGTGTTGAGCACTGGGTTTAAATGTTTAGCAACCCTAAAATTTTCCGCATTTAGTGTATCCCCCCAGGGCACGGGCTGACAGGAGCACATATACAGACCCTCACTGTTGACCAGAATGCTGCAGGTGGCAATTACAGCCTTTTACTCTAGTTTTCAGCTAAACCAATAAAATCATTTCCAGAACAGTTATCAGAAGGCTCAAAATTACAGTTCATCTATTCAAAAGTTACAACCCTGAACTTCCAAAGAGAACTGGCCATGATAAAAGGTTTTATTTTCTCAAAGCCACCTAAAGACTTCTTAAAACTGGCACTAATTCTGATAAATAAACATGGTTCTACCTGTGTTAACATTATCTCTCTATTTAACAATATGGTTACAGTTTTAATTAGACTATCCAAAAGCTCATTTTGCATGTTAGTCAACAGACTTTGAAGAAAATATTATGTAGCTACATGAATTTGAATATATCAAAATTCAGTATGCTCTGCTTGAAACCCAACACTTTTAAGCTGTAGAAATTGCACATACATGCACTCCACATGCAAAATGTCCTCCTAAATTAAAAATAATCATCTCCATTAATACTTGTCAATACAAACTCAACACCAAATCCTACCCAGAGACATGACAGAACGAAAAGATTGTCCAATAGCATAATTTAGACTTTCTCTATCTCCTACATATTGTATTACCTGTTTTTTTAAAATACAGGCCAATTAAATAGTCAACTAAGAAACATGGTTTAATGTTCAGAGGTATTGCTTGGGGAAACCACTCTTGCCCTTCAACAATGCTTGCATGTGGATATTTTTCCCAGTCTAGATCACACCAAATTTTCCTAAATCATTTCCTAACAGAGGAGCTACATTTCAGCAGAGCATCTGAAAACGTGTGAGAAATCTGAAAATATAACCGGGACTGCAGGCAGAAGGAATTTAATTTCTATTTAACCAAACTGATTTCAAGGCAATTGAACTGAATCTTGATCTTCAGAGCAGCTTCAGGTAACTGAGAATTTTCTTTAAGCTAGAGAAACCCTGGGAGACACGAGGAGAGATGCTTCCTCCTCCCTCGCTGTTCAAGGTTACTCAGACAGGCAGAAGTGGTGTCAGAGGAAGCGAGCTACGTACTTATCTCTTGGGAACTCCCACTTTGGGTCTTCTGGCAGCTCATACTCCGAGACTCCTGCCAGCATGGGGGCATCAGCAGTGGAGGAGAGGCGGGTGGTGATCCTCACCAGGGGCGTGTTGGAATTCATGGAGGAGCTCGAGTCGGCCGACACCTGTGGTTGCGATGCAAGATGCAACAAGAGAAAAAAAAAAGATGGAGATGTAATCTTGGCCCAAAATCTGAAAACCACCAGCACCTGATACCAAGCCAGCTCAGAATCATGGTGTTAGGAAGTGGCTGAATCTACAGTCTTTATTCTAGCGCTCTGTTCTCACATTTAGCCTCCCCCTTAAGCACAGTGCTGACTCTAATGGCTGCCAAGGCTGTCAGTCTGTCCCATAAATCAAAAACCACCTAACTTTTTAGTTTATTCCCTCAGAAGGTGTTTTTGTTCATCATATTAAGATTTTTTTTGCAATAAACAGGCAGTATTTACATCACTACCCTCAGATATCCAAGCAGGCACCTTATACCACAGACAGAGGTGATCAATAAGTTCTCTTCTTCCACTCCTAGTTGTCCATGTCACCACATCTTTTCCCAAATCAGCACACCCAGGTGGGACTCCATCCCTTCTCCCAAGGAAAAGCAAAGCACAAGAGTAAATGGCCTCCAGGGGAGGTTTGGATTGGATATCAAGAACAGCTCTTTCAATGGATGGACTGCCCAGGGCAGTGGAGGAGTCACCAGCCTCGGAGGGATTTAAAATACGTGATGTGTGAGGTGGGACATGGTTTAGTGGTGGTCTTGGCAGGGCTTACATTTGGACTCAATGGGCTTAAAGGTCTTTTTCAACCTATATGATTCCATTACTTTCTATTTTCCAAGTACTCAATACTGAAAGCATCAAAAAGCTATCACAACACTTCAGTTTTCAATTAACTACATTCTTAGCTAAAGACTCCACAGGAAATGTGGGGAAGAGGGCCTAAATATAACTCAGTTTTGAAACTTTGGAGTGTGATTTCTCACCAGCTCCGATATCTTCCTTAGAGTACCAAAGGTATTTATTGATAAATGCTTTGAAAAAGGAGGCAGCTGCTCCATCCACGTAACAAAATTTGGTGTGAATCTTCTGTAAGGCTCTTTCCTCAAGCCTGCAAGCAGCAGCCTGACATCTGCTGACCTCAGAGTTTCAAGTGAATACTAACACAAAACAGAAATGCTTGTATTGCCAGCCATCCCCTCCTGAATGAGAATCCTCCTTCTCTCCTCATGCCACCATCACGTCTTGGCCAAGCCCAGATCCAGCAGCCAGGCTGGGATCAAGGTTGCCACAAAGCCATCACTGGCACCCATCCTCACACCAGGCAGCAGGAGGTGCTTCTCTTGGACCCAGCTGGAAGCCTGGAGCACCAGAGCACCCACACCCTCATCACCTGGATGAGGATCAACTTTGCCACCTGGTTTGCTTATGTAAAATGTCACCAGGCTACAATTTTGTTCCACGGGTCTCAGATTTAATAAGGCATCTTTCTAAAACCAGAGGTTAAGGGTGAAAAGAGGTTTTGTAAGGAAGAAAATGTTCAGGATTGATATCAAAAAATTAATCTTGGTGACCAGATTTGCAGCTGACAGACCTTTCCTGATATCAGGAACAGCTCCTGCACACAAATTGTGGTGTCTGTGGAAAGGGAGAGTGAAACTGCACAAACACAAGGTGGACTGCTTCCACTATTCAACTCACCATCATGGATGTTAATATTTACTTTCAGCACATATAAGTACCTGGCACATTCCTCTAGGAAAATAAATCCAGTGACCACTCAGGATACAAACAGAAAGGTTCTATTAAGGCAGACTATGGAGCTGTAAATAAATCAGTGAGTGAATACTGAATGGAATCCTGAGAGAGAGATGCTGCCATGCCCAGCCTGCAGAGGGGAGCTCACCTGCTGGACCAGACAGCAGGAGAACCAGGGCTGGAATCTGATCTGCTTTTTGCCTACTTTTTTTTTTTTTCCTTCCTTCTCATTTTCATTATTTCACTACAGTTTGAAAATGATGTTTCAGGAAATGGACCAGCTCAGCACCAAGGAATGTGCAGATCTCCAGTGTGGCAGCTCCTCTACCCCCAGCCCTACTTTTCTGAATTCCACTTTTCTGTTATTTCTGGCTTCAATTTTTTCATCTCTCACCACAAACTCATCAATACTCTATGACCATTTCCTTCACATTTCCAAAATCCACTTACTATTCTCCAGCCATTCTACCAAGATCTTTATTCAAGTCTTGACTCTTATATTCTTTATTAATTAACGTTCCCTTTACTTCTGTGATGGCCTTTGCCATTACAGCCATTGTTTTCAAGGGACAGAAAGGCAGAGAAGTGAAGTTACAAAATTTAGATACCTCAGGTATCAGAAATGGTCCAGAATTCTAGGTTCTGGGATCTTGTTTTTTGTTTTTGTTTTATTTTTTCATGCACACAATAATTGTACTGGATACTGTCTGGATCTCTTCCAGGGTTTCACTTTTTCACTAGTTTTTACACTCACCATTCAGCAGCCCTAGCCTGGTTAAAGCCTATAAATATAAACTCAGAATAAACTGAAATACTCTGGTGATGCATTTTAAACACAGAGCTTAAATAGCAATAATGGATAGAAAAAAGCAGATTAAAGGCTCTGCCAGCTTTCCTTTTAACACAGCTCCACGTGTTTACTTCACAGCAGACCTGTGTGATGGGCCAGAGATATTGGAGGTAACCAAAGTGCATTAACATGGATAGGAATGATGAGAAATCCAGAGGAACTACTCCGTGTCTGGGAGAAGACAAATGGATTGTACTCCCAGGGAATATTCTCCTGATTGATTAACTGGAGCAGTACAAGGAATTACAGGAGCTCAAGGGCCATAAAAATCTGCTCCAGAAAAGATGAAGCCAACCCAGCCTGGTCTGTGGCTGGGGGAAATTTTCTGTTTCAAAATGGCCTCTCACCTTTCCTGCAATAAGAAAGAATTAACCTTTGATCTCTCCTCCCTCAAGCATCTTTTTTTCACTGCCTTAGAGCCCACTATAAAAGACTGAGGAAAATCCTACCTATTCTAAGGTCAGTAGACATGGTCAGCTTTAATCTACATTTAAGTGGCAGCTTTCTATATGCTTTTTTTTATTTTTTCCAGTTTGCCACGTGCAGCTCTGCTCTCCAACCCCTCACTGTGCAGGTTCACCTGATACAGGTGAATTAAACATGGTGGGGGCACACTCAGTGTGCTGACACCCTGTTTATGTGATGACACTGCACTAGGGAGCTATTTTGAGCGCTTAATTAAAGAAAGAAAAGTGAAAGTCAGCTTGAGTTGAGCAGAGCACTGAAAGAAGCATTATGGTACGTGCTGACCTCAACAGGAAGGCAGAGCTCCACCAGAAAATATTCCTTGTGTGCTTCCTTTTGTGCTTTTAGCTTCCCAGAAGTGAGAGCAGCACCAGGCTCAGCCAGACCTTTAGCTCCATATCTGCACTCGAGAAGGAGAAAAGCCCACTGCACCCAAACCTCACACATCAATGCATGATTATATCCCCATTTTAACTACATCTTCTTCCCCTGGCCAACACACTGGGTTTAATCAGCTCTCAGTTAATGCCTTACAAGCATTTCTAAGCAGCGGAGCATTTAAAACAAACAAATCTTTGCTGGAATCTTTAAATGCCATGTGGCAAAATCAGCTGCAGAGCAGTGTGTAATTGTCTGTAATTGATTATGAAGGGTGTTTTCCTCCACTGATAATTCATACCATGTCCTGGAGCCTAGATCTGTCAGTTCTGGCACTCATGCTGGGACGTTTTAGCAGGCATGCAGTGATTTCCTATAACTGTCAGCCTTTTTGAAGGCTCTGCTGTAAAAGTTAATTTGAAATCATATGCATATTTGTATATTATAATTAGTAAATAAGGCTGTTAGCTGCTGGTGGAAACAGCCCATCTGAGTGACCTGATGCAGGAAAACACAAGGTTAAATGCACTACACAAAACTGAGTAATCCCAATGTTAAGCACTGACATTTAAAACACATGCACCACCCCTCATTTGGAAACACTTACACACAAAATAATATCCAATAAGTACCATGAGACAAGACAGTGGTTTCCATATAGAAAAATCCAAGCAGAAAGAAAAAAAATAAAATAAATACTTAAGGTGAATTCTACTCAACAGTATCTTACTGAGAGTTGTATATTAATCTTTGTACTTCATAGTCTATTCCTCTAAAAAAATGATCATTTTGCTGCTCAATATTACATGAAATACTGCATTACTTTCCTTTTCCCTCATCACTTTTTTTTTCCACATTGCAGCCATCATCATTTTGAATTATTGAGCTGCCATTTTGAACTACTCTGCTTTAACCCAATCAGTTTTTGTTCATCACAAATACACCCATTATATCTTCATGACTCCACAACAACAACAATAGACATAAATTAATGGAAGTGTACTTTAAATACTAAGCATAAAAAAATAATTGCTTCCTATTTAAGACACGTACATGTTGAGGGGGTCCAAATTTGACAGATTGGCTGTGACAGAACTAACAAAAACCTTCAGTGATGACAAACATTTGTACTTGACTTTGAGCAAGTCACAAGAGATGGGACTGTCTTTTTTGTCTGCTTCAATTATAATTTATCTGTTAAAATAAAGGTTCTACAAAACAGAGGTACATCCTCCTGAAGGCTCCTCTTTATTCTTTTGGTCCTGTCACTTAAAGCCTGTCCTGCAAATCAGCTTGTGAGGCTCAACCCCACAAATTCCTCATCCCCACCCTCCCAAGCTGGCAGCTCCATGCAGACCATGAACATTTGAATTGCTTTGATGAAAAGAGGAGCTGCCTGCTGGATTTCCCTGGAAAAACCTTAAAAACTGAGTACCAGAGCCTGGTGAGGATGAGGATTGTAGGGGATGGAAACCAGTGATTCCTGACTTCATCCTGACCCTTCCTACAAGTGCGAAAAGAGCTGCATTTTGGCAGGAGAAAAATGCCTGCATGGGGGGAATGATAAAATCCTGTGGTAGCTCAGGCTAAACAGTGCAGGAGGATCCAAACCAAACCATATGTTACTCAGCAAGACTCTTCTCCTGCTTAGACAAGATGGCATCAGAGCTGTGCAAATGTCTCTCTGTGAACCAGGATTATTTTCCAGCCCAGATCCTCGGGGACCCTGACCCAGCAGCAGAGGAGCTTTGAAAACAATATCAAGAATTTCCCAATCTGTAGCCTCATTTCTCTGGAATTCCAGCAAATCCCATCACCCAGCCCTGGATCCCTGCCCCATTCTCACAGCCCACCTGCCACGAGCATCTCCCTCCCATCCTCCCACCTCGTCCCTCCCACACACAGAGCACGAAGGGAGAACCTTCTGTGACCCACAGAAAATAAAGGTTTAGTGACAAAACCCCACCGAGTTTAAATACAACCCTCTGAAACACAAATAAACTGAAACAAAGCGAGTTTGGTGGCACAACTGGTTGGGTTGAATGATCCAGAAACACACACCCTTTTAAAAAAACATCTGGGATTATTTTTCAATTCTTCACTTGTAACAACAGCACTGAAATCCAAAACCAGCTTTAAAAGATGCAGAAACTAAAGAGCTGCTGCAGCATCAGCACCAAGGAGATGATCACTGAAAAATTAAGGAATATTCACAAGGAAATCTTCAGGGACTGTTTGTCTCAGCCTGCCTTTGCAAGCTGACCATTGAAATCATCAAACCAGAAATATAGATTTCAGGCAATGCTTACAGTAATTATATTTTCTTCTATGCAGATTCAAAAGCAGAGAGACCATCCATGAGCAACTGCTGCTAACAAAACAGTACCAGGAACAATTGGGAGGAGTGGGATTTAGGGGTTGAAATAGCATTTGCACTTTCAAATATAAATCTTTTTCAAAAATAAGTATTCCCAGTTTTAAAAGCAAAATGCCATTTTGGCTAAAAAAAATGTAAAAATACTGAAATAAATTGATAAAACCCAATGTGACAAACATGTTGTAAGACAGTTTCTTCCCTCTGTGAAAACAATAGCTTTGGAGAAGGTCCATATTGCATCATTTAAGGATAAATAGCTAAACTGAGGGCAGTGGTTGGCACTGCTGTCACATGCAATGAAATAACACTTCTCCCCAAGGAACGACTTCCAGCTGACACAACTGAGCTCACACCAAACCTTAGGTATTTTTTATATCATCAATTTATCTCTGAGTCATTAGGCATTTATATTCAGGCAGAAATCTAATAAATGTCTCCTATCTAAGCAGTTGATATGTATCTCTCTCTCTGGCTAAGAATACAATATCTGAAAGGCCTTGTTTGTCCAGAAAGCTACACAGATTTCTAGCCAGAGAGATGTGTCAATTGAGCCCAGGGCTTCTCCTCCCTCTTTCTGACACCCTCAAAGTGAAAAGTCCCTTTTTGTCCCAGTGATACTTGAGCAAATGAGTAAAATCATAAATAAAAATAAAAAATAAATCAAAACAAAAAACCCAACAAAAATCAAGACCACACCGAAAGTTACAAAGAAAGTTAGAAAGTTATAAAAAATAAGAATTAACATTTTTTTGTTCTTAAGACAAACCAAATGTTTTTTAGATTGAAAAAAGTTCAGGTGCTCCACCTCAAGATTCTGTAAAATACTGAATTCAGAGGAAGGTAGCTACAGTATTCCACTCCCTGGTAATTTTAACTAAGGAAATTCAGAAACCATGAAACAAGGGTGCAGAAAAACGTAAAGCTGCTCAGAATCTCCCAGTCTGTGTGCCCGTACATCTCATTTCAAACACTTACCCAGGCTGAAGAACCCTTTTTAAGGTACATTCATTACTCTGACAGTGACAATATTCTGGACAGGCTGTAAAAACAAATCTGCAGAAATCCTGCACCACTTACTCATGGTGTGGATGGACACAAAGTGAACCCTCACATCCCAATTCCCTGGCCAGAGCCTGGATCCAAACCCCCCATGACTGTTTTTTTGGCTGCTGAGGTGAGCCAAAGCCTCAGATTCCAACATTCCCCCATCCTGCAGGGCTGAAACCTGGGGGGTGATGGAGGTCTGCCCTCAAGACCTATGCAAGAAAATCACAACCTATTAGACTCCAGCTTCTAAAAACACCACAAATCCTTCAGGAGAGGACAGCATGTGGGAATGGAGGCTGTTTTGGCAAGTGGTGGTCTGTGATAAAGCCACTTGTTCAACTGGTTTGCTGCTCGTGGCATTGCTTTCTCCAGAAATGCTCATTGCCAGCCACAAACAACTGTAAAATATATTTCATGTGATGCTGTTGTCTGCATTTTAAATCTGGCACTTGCTTTCATTTCTTGCTCAAAAGCATCATTATCTTAATCAAGCTGTCCAAGATCTGATATAGTATCTCCCCTACTTTTACTTTATTACAGTCTTTTTTCTATTTTGGGGTGTTTTCTGGATGCCTGGCTATGAAATTCCCTCCCCTCAGTCTTCAAAAGTCCTCCTGAAAAATCCCTCTCTGTATCTGGTACCTAGTTACCACAATAATAATCACCTTAGAAACATCATAAATATACAATTAAATACAATTCTGTTCCAAAGCCCATTAAGGCAGTAACATTTTTTCCATTGACTCCATGGGCCCCAAAATACTTGAAAGATTATTTTTTTTTCCCCCATCTACAGACAGCTAATACAGAACATATTTCAGGTTTTATATTTTATATTTATCCCCTCCCTAACATCCCTGGAGTGAGATGCTGCGCTAAGATGTTCTGTCCACCCCACCCCTACCTGACATAATTCATTAATTCCCTTATTCATTCCCCTTTCCAGAGCTCTCAGCAGAAGGATGTGCTGGCTTAGTCATTGAGGTAAAAAAAAAGGTTTTTTGAAACTCTTTATCTACTTTCTGTTACCTGTCTGCGCAGGGGGATGCGCTTGGTCAGCTTGTGGACAGCGGGCTGGCTGCTGAAATCCGGCTTCTTGGTGGTGTTCTTCATGCGGCACAGGATCACTATCAGCACCATGCAGGCTATCAGGAACACCCCTATGCAGTAAATTGCTATTTCCACGTAGTCTGGAGAGGTTGGGTATTCCTTTTCTTTCTCAGGAGCTGGGTGGGAAGGTTGGAGGAGGGAACAATCATGCCAGAGGGTTAGCAGATGGAACGGGCAGCGGTTCACAGCACTTGGAGCAAGTATTGGTAAAATAGGACCAATTTTTGGGTGGTTTTCAGAATTCTGAATGTTTAGGCCATCTTGCAATCTGAGAGTATTTCTTTTCTCCAGATTACTCTGCTTTGATTTCTCAGTTTGCACTGAGTGTCAACTTGTGCATCTATGTATACATAAACAAACATATACACATGTCTGCCTAGGTAGGTACATACATATACATTGAAATATTGCATGATCCTTTTAGAGGGAAGACAAAACTGCTCAAACTAGACTCAGGTTCATTTTGTTACTTGAGTCAAACTTTAAAAGCGCTGCAATTCTTGTGAATTCAAGCTCACATCTAGAGATAAAATTGTGAATTTGCTAGCCTGATGAAAAGTGTCTAAATTTGCAAATAAATGTTTGGGCTTGAGTCTACCTGCTTATTCAAAATTTTCAGTAGGATCTCAAAATATAGAGGGAAGGGAGGATGAAGCAGTTCCCCAATCATGTCTATAAACTCAGATTAGGGGTTTCAAAAGGGTTTCACAGTCCTGGCTGTCCAGCTGCTTTAACCAGCCTCATGCTGGGTGCCCAGTGTCCCTGAGGTCCTTTGAGGAGCCCAGAGCTGGATTAAAAAGCATAATTGAAGTGAAAAACTAATTGCTAGCAACACGTTAATTAATAAGGCCTCTTCTGTGAGGACTGCGGCCTTTCAAGTAATCTCATCAGTGGTTGCTGGCCTATGAGATTAGATTTTGGAGGGAGTGGTTCTACAGAGCTGTTACTGTGATTGAAACCATTTTGAAGCTCTCTTCAAGACAGTTATACGTGCAAACAGTGTCCCTAATTCCTTATCTGGGATTCAACCCCCGGATAAACAGCATTCCACAGCCATCAGCGGTCACTCCGCAAGCAATGCACGTTTCAAGCTGAAATTTTCTTGTGCTTTTCCAGGCTTATAAAACTACTTTGTTCAAGAAAATTGGTTAAAAAAAAAATAAATTAATAAAAAATGCTGTTCAAGCACTTGCAAAATGCAAACACTGCCAGCAGAAGCAAGCTCTACACAAGCACTGCTCTGCCTGCTTGGTGACACCTCACAGGCTCAGTTCCCAGTGAGATGGAATAAAGCTGCCTCGTTCAATAAAATCCAATAAAAGGTAAGAAATTATCTGCAGACAGTGGGAACATTTAACTCCCACACTGTGAACCTCAGCAATATGCACATGCAGGTGTTGTACCTCTTACTTAGGATTAACAATTAATAAATGTTAAGCACAAGATGACCCAGCAAACCTCAGGTGGTTCATATTTTGTTTTTTTTCCAAAGGAACTCCTGAGGCAGCTGCCAACAGTTATAAATGAGACAATTTGACTAATGTCAAAACCAGCTATGGTTACATCTTCTCACAGCTGATAACAATTTTCAGGCAATAAAGCACATTGATGTTTGTTTCTTTTGAGGACAGAAACATCATCAACCCCAGAACAGCAAGACATGCTTTGCAGTAAAAGCAAATGACTACTTGTTTCCTTAGAGCATGCAATGTTTAAAGATGCACGGAGCCAATTCCCAAGATATGGAAGGCACTGCTTCTGTACATGATCCTCTGGCATTGAAATTGGAATTTCCATCAGAAATTTGCATGATAGGTAGAAGTGAATTGAAGTACATTGAATAGCTCAGGTATTTCAATGAGCCATTACATAACTACAGCCAAATTAGTTCCAAACTTCGTAACAAACTGAATTTCATCCTCTTTTTTTACAATGATTTATAGGCTGATTTTCAGTTGTCCCACTGAAGTGCTAAGGAAATGCAGATACTTAGCATTTCTGATGATGTAAAAACATTTCAATTAAGTGCAATAGCCACACACTCCACTCCCTGTTTTTTGCTGTTGTTGCTATTTTTCTTTTGGCAAATACGTGTCAGAACAACTCACTGGCTTGAGACAACTGCACTTGAAAAACCAAAATCATTGTAAAAGTCCTTTTTTTTTTTTTTTTTTTTGAGACAGAAGCTGTGCTAATTCTGCAGCAATCAACAAGGGGAGGGGGGGGGAAAAAAGAGGAAAAACCACAGAAAGAGAGCAGTGTATACCTGGCAGAACTGTCAACCATGCAGTGTGAAAGGATATCCCAATAGAATTACCCGCCAAGCATGTATACTCCCCAGCATCCTCAAAAGTTACATTCCGTATATAGAGAACCTCAATTTCTTTGTCCGTGGTGTTAACACCGGCAGCCTAAAAAAAAACAAGAGGGAAGCAAGAGAAAAAGCTAGACACTGAGAGAATTTTTGTGGATAGGGAGATGGAGCCACAGGGCTTTGCACTTTGGTAAAGGCAGAGGTGGAGAGATGCAAAGCTCCTTCCCCATCCACAATCCCTCATCCAAAAGGCGTTTACCAACAGGTCCCAGCTCACCTCAGAAAGTAAACACCCTTCACCAGACCTAAACTCACCACCTAAACATGCATGCAATCAAAAGACATGGAAAAATTCACCCACAAAGATTTTTATTTTTTTCTCTCTCTTCTTCTTCTTTTATAACAAGAGAAAGTTGAAAGAAAAACAAAGAGAAAATGAAGTAGGACAGAATGTGGGATCCTTCACGTGTAGATACCTGTTCCAGAGGAAAGAATTTACCATAAAAGCATACTCTAAAATGATAAAGAAAAGGGGTGAATTCTGCTCCAAAAGACAACTTAGTAGCTGTCATATACTGTGTATGATCTTTGCATCACTCCACTTTTGAGTAGTAACTACTACTGTACATTGTGAAGAGTTGCCAAACCTCATTTAAATCTCAAATCTGGAAATATTTGGCGGTTTGCTTAGAAGCACAATGGAAAGTATCTCAATTCTTGCTGAAAAATCAGAGATCTTGTTCGGTTGTGGCTCTCACAAGTGTGAGAGAAAATACTTCAAAGGCTTGAAAACTAGGAGATAGAAATCAAATATATTTTTCAACATCTTAAAGATTGAGGGGAAAAAATACTCTGCAAGTTTTGTGTTTTTTACTGGTCATCTTCCAGACTTGTTGTCTTGACATTGTGCACCAATCCAAGTATCAGTGATTATCCAAATTTATACAAATGTAGTAAATCTTAGGCCTGGAACTTCCCAGCTGCCCCAAGATGGGCACATCAGGGCATCAGCATCAAGGTCTCAGTGATGGAGGTTTAGAAAAATTAATGTTTGTTACTTTTGATCTCTGCTCCATTCAAAAATGTTAATTTGAAGTACACAATCAGGGTAATACCTTTAGATTGGACCATTTTGAGGTAAATTTAGTTGTGGGTTGTAGTCACACAGTTGCCTTTACTGTTACTGCTGAATAAAACCCAGTTAGTAATGGGTAAGACCTGGGAAAAGCCTCCCACCTGCACAGTCACAGGCGAGGTGAGAAGTTGTAAGTGATTAAACTGACCTGACTTATGCTCCAGTGGGTATTTATGTGAGCAGGTCATGGATATACACACCTATGTGTATATATAAATACACACTATGAGGTTGTAATTACATTATTCAGTGGGTACCCTCTGTGTCAACTGCAGAGGACGCAGAATCAACAGCAAAACTGGACATACACACACAAAAAGACACCAGAGAGAGAATAGAGATCAGCATCAGAAACCAAAGCAGTGCTTCTGGTACACAGAGAACATTGTGGGAATTTTTCCATGGCTGCTGGTGTAACACCAGCTGCATCACCGAAGGAGGATTACACAAATACCACCAAGGCCAGAGAGTATCCTACAAGCTGCCTGCAGTCTCCCAAAGCACCATTTTTTTCCAGCTTGCTTTAAAAAACATTGTTACCTTGTACACTCGGCAGAACAGAGAGCCAGGCAGACTGGTTGGCCTCCCCTATATAATTGGAGACCTTACAAATATATTCTCCAGCGTCCGCCTCTGTCACATTGTACAGTGTCAGCACTTCAGCATTGGAACTATTTATCCCCGAGTGCTAGAACAGACCAATAACACAGGAGAACAACGTCACTGCTGCCCAGAATGGACACCAATCTGTCTATGGTCCCACCACCAACACGTCACCAGAACATTCCACATCAGCCTCTGAACACTGAAGTGTTTGGGGTTGGAATTTGTTGGGGTTTTTTGTTTGTTTTTGTTTTCCTTTAGGTTGTTGTTGTTGCTTGGTTTTCTTACATCTGAAGCGTGACACGAGGAGTTGGGAAACAGCAGCGTGGGGGAAAATGAATCTGCCTAGGCAGGTACTGCATGGGGCAAGCAGGTACAGAGCTGGCTGTCCTGCCTCTCAGAGTTTTGGCAATGCCATCCAGTTTGGAAAACTCCTGTTTCCCTGGTCAGGCTTGCTCCAGACTGGCAGGAATGACAGTACCAATACACTGCTCCAAATCAGACATCTCTGCAGGCTCAGCGTCCAGACAGCTCAGTCCTCCAGCAAGATTTTGGCAGCAGCTGCCACGTTAGTTTGAAATCAAGGGGCTGAAGAAACATAAAAGAAATGGAGTAGATTGTCCCAGGTATGTTTTGGATGCTTTCTACCCATACAAAAATGTCAGTGATGCTCTCTAGAAGGATTTTCAATTTTTTCTGAACAAGTCATGCCTGAAACATTCAGATATAAAGGACTTTTTATGGAAGTAAAAAGGAGCAAAACAGTGTCTACAAGCTGCACATTTAGCATTCAAGACAATCAAATGTTTATCTAGCTCATCATTTCATTTGTAACATAAATATCTCCACTTTCAAAAGAGGTTCCAAACTCGAAATCCTTGGATTTACACCAAATAAACGCCGCGCTCCAAAGAAGGCGTCACCACTGGCGGCACCTGCGAAGCCTCACCTTTAAAACCTGGAGATAGGGCAGCCCATCTGGCCCGTATTTACTGCCGTTCTTCTCCACGTGCTTTATCCACTGGATGTGGGGCTGGGCATCGCTGTACACCTTGCAGACAAACTCGACGTCGCCGCCCACCACGGCGGAGGCGTTGGCGGGGAGCCCCGCCTGCAGGATGGGCCGGTGCGGGGAGCGCTCTGCTCCAGCGGGCAGCGGCACAGAAGGAGCAAGAGAGAGAGAGAGAGAGAGAGAGAAATAAAGATGCATAAATAAGCAGGGCTGCCAAGAAAACTGTAAGTGAACCCCAGCCAAAAAGCCCTGTAAGCCTGTTGGCTGACTCCTCCGAAATAACACTGCAGCCAATGCATGTAACAAAACCTGCGGTTCAAAGGAGATGGCTTGGGTGCTACACTTGTAATTTAAAGAATAGCCATCTGGGGGGAGAGGGGGAACCCTGCTTAAAGACTTTACTCATTTTCCATGGTTTAACTCAGCCCTAATTAGGTAAAATATCTCCTTTTGGGTTTTTTTTAAGCTACCGTAATACAGTTACCTCCGAGTTTGGAAACATCTTGATTTGACTAGATCTCCTCACATTAAGAAGAAATATTATTGATTAATTTTAAAAACATGTTAAAATATACCAAAGGGAATTTTTTTTTAAAGTAGCAGCTGAAGCCTCAGCGTGCAGGATGGACAAACCAGGGAGCTCAACTTCCTAAAATACTCTAATCACTGCCACCCCTGCTTCACCCAGACACAGCAGCAGAAACACTGCTTCATTCTTATTCTCACCAAGACACAGGGAAATACAGAGTTCTCTGGAAAACTGGAGTGTATTTAATGGGAGCCAATTCAGCTTCTAATCTATGCCCATGCATAAGCACTTCTCACACATTTTCAGTCAGCCTCTCACGGGGAGCAGCTGAGGGAATTGGGGTTGTTTAGCCTGGAGGAAAGGAGGTTCAGGAGGGACCTTCTTGTTCTCTACAACTCCCTGACAGGAGGCTTTAGCCAGGTGGGAGTCAGGCTCCTCTCACAGGTGACAAGGATGAGAGGAAATGGCCTCAGGTTGTGCCAGGGGAGGTTTAGATTGGATATCAGGGAAAATTCCCTCGCCAAAAGGATGGCCCAGCTTTGGAACAGGCTGCCCAGGGAGGGCATCTAAAAGTCATGTGTGTGGATGTGACACCTGGGGATGTGGTTTAGTGGTGGCCTTGGCTGTGCTGGGTTAATGGCTGGACTCAATGATTTTAGAGGGCTTTTCCAACCTAAACAATTCTATAAATGAGAAGTGAAATGCTCACTGGCCATCCCCACCCTCAGCTCCCTGTTCTCCCCTGCTCCAGGAATTCTTTCAAAGATAAGTAAAAAATAGCAGACCTAAACATTTATTTTTAGAGGCTATATACTGTAAAAGCTCTGACATTATGAGCCAAATCAGCTGAATTTCAAACCAAGCGTTCCTTCTTAAAACATACTTGTCTCCAATAAATTGTTTCACAAGCAAACATTGTGAGTATAATAGCAAATAATGATGCCATTGAACAATGGGATCTTTTATACAGTCCAATATATTTGGCATGCAGCAAACATCTACTGGGAATTTATTCACTGAGCCTATGCTGGCAGCACACTACAAAGCAGCAGTCTTATTTTACTTGTGGCAAAAGTGCATTTGCATTGCAGTTACTAAATTATTCCATGGCTACGTGTGTCATTTTTGAAGATCTAGGAACAGTTTCATATTTTTTAATTTGTAAATTGCAGTAGAACACATAAATTATGATTTTACAATTCTGGAGAGAACTTTTAGTGTCTCACCTTATACTAAATAAGCTCTAATTCCATCTCCCTCATTCCTTCATTTGGGTACAAAAACAGCAAGCAAAAAAATCTCTCTTTAATAGAAACCTTACACCATCTTCCAAAACTTATTACAGCTGCCTTCAGTATAAAATGAAACCTTAGAGAATGTTATTTAAAATGTTTTTTAGAAGTCAGTAGGCCTCATGTTTCATTTCTCCACATCAGGGTTTGATTTCCTTTGTGACCTTATTCTCTGCCCTTTAACAAACCAGAGAATGAGGCCTGAAACATCTTGGAAAAGTTCCTACTATGCCAGCATCCACACACAAGATGTGTTTAGTTTATCCTGACAGCCATCAATGATTTAATCTTTTATTGATGACTGTCAAGCATTTTCTCTACCAAAAAAGAAGAGGCAAAGCAAAGGAGTAAAAGCAGAGTTCTCACACTCTTGGTCCTCAATTTAATTTCCAAAAATTGAAGTGCGTGCATAGGGATGGGTACATGTGCATGGCCCTTTGTGAAATTTCTTCTCTAAAGGTAAAGTGTTAGAAACAAACTTTGGTTACCCTCCCACACATGGATCAGTGTTCACCAACTCCTCCACTTCAGCAGAGGGGAGTAAGTCCTGTGCCCACACAGGCGCACAGCAGGAGAACAAAGCCATGCAAATCCAGCAGGGCTTCGTGGCAAACCTGGGATCCAAAGAGCACCCAAAACACACTCAAGACCAGGGAAAATAACTGTGAAGAAACTTCCACTAATTACCAATAGCCAAGCTTAATTTTGTACAGCACCTTTTCTTGGAAATACTCATTTCAGGACGTTATCCAAAAACATCCTGAAGTTATCCTACTTCTCTGCAAAACCACACACATCTAGGGACTCTGTTAAGCACAGGTACTGTCAAAGCCATATTCATAAATCTCACATCACTATTCAGCATTTAAAATACAAGCTGTACATTTGTAAGCAGATATCATCACTCAAACAACTAGCTGCACTAGTATTAGATGGAAACAGTGTGTTCCTTTTTACTGAGCACCAGCAAAAGAGTCAAAGTTGCCTTTAAAAACATCTTAAAGGCTGGTGAAAGTGATATTATCATTACCTAATAATTATAATCAGGATAATCACTAAAACATAGTGACCTTATATCTCTAGTTAGTTAAACAATATTTTCATACAAAACAAGCTGGCAGCAAATCTCATAGCTCTGGAGCCTGATTTCACTATTCCTCTTCTTCATTAATATTGAAGAACCACCTTGAGAAATAAATCTTTGCTGCCTGAACACTGAAATTTCAGTGTTACAATCTCACTGTTGTCACAGTTTGTTATAAAATCAAGTCAAAAACATATGCTATTAATACAGAGAATCACCCTCAGCATGCTTCATGCTGGATTCCACCACAAGAGACAAGACACCAGCTTGCAGTTTAGGTACAAAACCAACATTACCCCCATCTGAGGAATCAGTTATCTACAAAAGACAGTCAAAATGTTTGCTCACATGAGGAATATCAGACTCAAGGCCACAAGCACAGAAATTTTACACCACCCTAAAAGTACCCAGGGCTTAAGCACTTCTGCTCACTTATCTGCAGACAAACAGAGTCGCTATCTGAAGGGATGCCTGACAAAGAGACCTTGCCCAAAAGGCTTAGAGGAAACTGTCATTTAGCCTGTTAATGTTAAAACTTAAAAATACCTCCCTCCAAGAGATAAAACTACAAAGAATGCAGGAAAGCTGGAAAATTCCAAGTTCTAAAAAAAATTGGCACAATGGAAGGAGCTCTCCAGGAAGTTCCAAGCACTGCAGGACCCCTAGAGATGGTGGGAGCCTGTCCTGCTACTGGAAATGGCTACTGGAGCCTCGATGCTTCACAAGGAATCCTGAGAACTGGCTCTTTAAGGAATTAGAGCCCCTGAACAGAGGAATCCTACAAAATTCCACATCTATTCCCCATCCTTGGCTTTATCTCTAATTTTTTGTTGCTGGTCAGGGGAAAAGAGAGAGGAGAAAGAGGAAAGTGATGCAACCGTAGGAGGTGAAGATGCTGGGGGGTGTGGGGTGGGTGACAGGGGCCAAACCCCAACTCTCACAGCCAAAGGAGAGCAGCAGGCACAGCCCCAGGAAGGGAGGAGGGAGATGTAGCGCAGGAGCTGCTGCTGCCAGAGGCCAGTGGAGAGGGATTGTGGCTGAGAGAGTGGCACTGCTGCCACCAGAGAGCCTTGGCAGGGAGAGCAGACAATAACCCCGGAAGGGGGGAGCTCCAGGACCCTGGCCAGGCCAAGTCTCCTTAGCAACCTGGCTGTGCCAGGGGCTGAGAAGAGCTCTGGGAATTGTCTCTCCAAGCTTCCTTGTCACCCTAGCACAGATAGTTCAGGACCTTTCACGGGAGCTAAAAGCCAGAACCAAAGCCCATTGAAGTCAGGGGGAAAACTCACATGGAATTCAATGGGCTTTGCATAAGGCATCCGATTCATTGAAAAAAAAAGAAAATGAAAACTACTCTTATTTTCTGCTTTTGAATGTGCTTGTTTCCTCTCCTTGCAAATCTGTGATTCAAGTGTGGGCTAGAAAAATAAAAGCTTAATAGCAAATGCAAGACCTAGCATGGGTTCTGGGGACAATGGAGAGATCCTTAATTAAGGGGGGGAAGAGAGGGAGAAAAAGATTACCTAATTTTTAACTAGACACATTTATCAGAGCCTTTAATTGCAGTTTTGAAGTGTTACTGACTTCCAAGAGCTCATCTTGATGGCTGCCACTGAGCAACTACAAAGGGATCCCCCCAAATGATGCCTCTGAGCACCAGTTCTGGATCAAACCTGGTAGAGGTTCTGTGCATTCAGTCATCATTAAATGAGAAATGAAGTAGTTCCAGCTGTCACTGTATTGACTGAAAACACAGACCTGCCATATCCTCTTCTTCCCTTGCCCTGGTCAGCACAGCACCCTCAGCTATAGTTGCTTATTTTGTCTGACTCCAAGCTTGGGAAATACTCAGCAGCAGCCTGGACCCTGTTTGGAGAAAACACCATCCACTCCCAAGCACCTTCCTTCAGATGCTGCAACATCTGTTGCTTTGGAAGATGCTAATTATGCTGTAAATTATGGGTCTCAAAAGCATCCTACAGCATTTTAGGCCAGACTGTAATCACAGCCTCTTGCATTAGCTTTGGCCTCACATTGTAAACTTGCAAGATTGACTTGCAAGCCTTAAAAAAATTAACCACAGCCTTTTCATCACAGGCTTGGACTGAAACATTCCCTGTGTTTCATCCTCACCAACGAGCAGCACTTTCCCACCATTCCCACTGGGCCATCCACCTAACCCAGGAGATCTCAGAAGGCTGCTGGGCTCTGGGAGCAGCACTGCTG